GGTCAGCACATCTAGCTCTTTGGACTCAAGATGAGGCAAGACCCCAAAGTGTAGGGATGACACTGGTAGTCAGTCTTAAAAGGAGCTCAACAGGCAAAGCTGGTGGACAGTGAAAGCTTATGTAAATCTGGATAACCTAACTAACATGACTATAGAGATGACAAGCATAGGTGACTAGAAATCTATAAGTCTTTTCTACCTAAATAACCTAAGGACAAAGACTTCATGTAAACAAGGTAAACAGTCTATAAGCAAATGTATGGCAAAATGACAATGACTTCAAAATTGTGACAATACACAAAATATCTTTAACAGATCTAGGAATGTACAGTGCAATTTAGAATATGACAATATTCCTAAATATATATCAATATACAAAATAACCTAAACAGAGGTAGAACATACAGACAATATGACAGATATAAATTTACATTTGTATCAATATACAAAATATTTCAAATAAGTATAGAAATATATGTACATTACTACAAATATAGTTCTGTATTTGTATCAATATACAAATTATCTTAAAGAGGAATATATAAATAGTTTACATTTGTATCAATATACAAGAATCCATAACAATGCAAATTATCTAAGGCTGCTATTTTACTAAATTTGTTTAGTAGTATATATAATAATCTACCATAATATCTTATACCTATTCATTCTACTTTTTCTTTACTTTTTTCTCTTTTGCTTGTTTTTTGAGACACATTTTCTTTTCTTAAGGAGAATACTGAGTCTAATATTTTCTTCCACCCACAACCCTATAATAATCATCCATAACCCCGAGAAACATGACACCTTTGGAAGAAAGGGCATCGTTTTCTTAGAATTGCTACCTGCTGTTTAGGGGGTGATGATATCTCTGTTGGGTTCTGGAAGAAAGCTCAGATAGTTAAGTCTCAGTTAGATTAACAGTAGATTCTGAAGCCAGTCTCAGAGTAATGGGTAAGAGTGTCTGAAATTCTGGCTAGACATGTAGTATGATGATGATTACCATGGCATCATTCTGCACTGGATAGAGTTGTTGCTGTTGGGGCCCCATCTTCCTTCTGAAGATTTCAGAGATTGCTATTGGAAAAACTTGTTTTTTTACTGTGAAAAACTTGAACATTATTAATATATCAAAATGGAAAGTTTAGATTTAAAGAAGACATGACATGTAAGAAAGGATTCCAAGAAATCAAGAGTAAGCATGGAGAGAATGAGAATCTTGAAGACAATGGTCCCTTTTTATTGGTTTCCTTCTGTCCTACACCAGAGGACTGTTCTGATATGGGACTGAAGAATCTCTCAACCTTTTCTTTTGGTAATATGTTTGGGTTTAGAGAAGGAGTAAGCCAATTCCATCTCCAAAGCCAGCTTGGTATGTAATTGAATTGGAACCACAACTTTTCTAGATTGAAAGAGATATAGATGTTAGACAGTGAGATTTTACCCTGTGTGGATTGGTACCAATAGATTCTTTCTTTCTGCTGTAGACATCTGGATATCCAAGGCCTTATGATTTCTGGAAGATGGGTATTTCCATTATCCTGGAAAGACAAAAACAGAACCCTATCCCAACCCTTGCTTGCTAAAATTTTCTTACAACTTGTAGAGATGTCACATTGATGGATGAACTTTTACTTCCTCTCATCAAGGGGGTTCTCCTGTTCAAGTCGAACTTTTATTAATTCTGTTGGTATCCATAGCTTTTCTTCTCCTGCAGAAACAGAAGCAAAACCCCTTCCCCAACGTAGAACATATCCAGGTTTCCATTCTGAGGTCAGCACATCTAGCTCTTTGGACTCAAGATGAGGCAAGACCCCAAAGTGTAGGGATGACACTGGTAGTCAGTCTTAAAAGGAGCTCAACAGCAAAGCTGGTGGACAGTGAAAGCTTCTTCAGGTAAGACTTGGAGTACAGAGAGACCTCAGGAGGACTGCATTCAGGGAGAATAACTCACTAGAAAATGTGGGTGCAGGTGCCCCATGGCCAGAGTTACTTCTGGGAGGGTGAGAATGATAAAAGCAGGTGACTTTATGTGATCAACAGGCAAATTGGTGCATGATAGGTGCAATTACAAAGAGTCCTTGAACTGTGTAGATGATAAAGGGAGGTTTGGTTCTGAAGTGAGGATGCTGCAGAGGAAGCAAGTTTGGGAGCTGCTAGACAGAATCATCTTGATTCTGTGGTAGTGTGAGTTGGAAAAAACCAACAAGATCTGAATGACCACCTCTAAATCTAGAAGGGTGGAAATGAAAGGGGTTGGAAAGGTTCAAGATGTCTGAGCAGACCACTTGTGTATTATATATGAATTGAGAATCACAATTTACACCTGAGGTTGTAGATTTGACATGAGCAGGGTCTGTACTAGAAACATTTATAAGGTATGATCACTAGGGGAACCTACATTAATTTGACTATCTCTGTATTGTGACAAAGCTGCTTACAAGAAATGCTCTTTGGAACTCACAGAGCAAATGCATTATACAATCTGCAAACCCAGAGCTAGAGCGCTATACAAGAGAGTATTACAGCTTCTGGGTAGTTCCATCAGGCATAGCCAATATGCTTTCTGTGCATCTGGAGGTAGGCATTGGATAGTGGAGATGGTGCAGGACTTATTTCTGGAGAACTCTGCAGAGAAATCTGTTGCAGGAACTGCATCTCCATAGCTAGGCTCGAGAGGGTTGAGAAGGCACTGGTACACAAGGACTGGGAAAACACACCAGGCCAATTATGTGTTAGATCCCTGCAAACACAGTGTGGAATTGATGTGTAGAAATAGATTGGGTGGGAATGGTGAAACACAAATGTGAATTCTGGTGTAGGAGTTGCATGACTACTGGTTGGATTGGAAGTGCAGTTTTGATACTATGAAGTGACATTCTTGGGGAATCCCCAGGCAAAGCCAGTGTGCAATCTGCCATTCCAGAGATGGCAAAAGTCAGTTGACTGTGATAAAGAAAGCTGATGTCTGATTCTGCATCCAAGTCTAGAGCTTTGTCTGGGGAGATTATGTAGGTGTATGTGGTACAGGGATACTCATCAGGAAAAGCAGTTACTTAACTGTGTGATTACAAGTAGGCCTGGGGACATGGAGATAGCTCTGAGAGCTGAGATTACGCAATGTGTGCATCCATTGGTAAATATCAGAATATGCAAGACATGAGGCAGGATCAGTTCTCATGGTATCTGACAGAGAAAATCAGTGATGTAACTTGTGCTACTAGAGCAAAGCCAGGGAATATGGGAATGGCACTGGGCATAGTGGGTTATGGGGAACATCATCCTGCAAATAAATGCTTGAGCTATGTTCCCAAAGAAAGGACTTGGGAGTGTGAAGAGGAAAATGGCATGAGTGTGTGTCTTATGGATCCACCAGGGAAAGCTGGTACAGGAACTATATGACTAGAGCTACTAATGAGAGTAGAAAGATTATACAGAAGGTTAAGATGTGGTCCAGAGTACCAGAAAAATCTGACATATGATCCTCTTGTCAATATCCAGACCTTGCAGTTTGAAGACTGTTCTGGTAGGCCTGATTTTAAAGGGATTCAGAGTGGAATCCATATAGAAGCAGAGACATAGTAAATAGCCCATAGGGGATAGGCATGGCCCTGGTGGATAAAGCTATGTAAATCTAACAAGGAAAATCAGAAATCCTAGGCCTTCTGTATATATATATATATCTCAAGTATGTAGATTGGTTTTCTTGTGGGACTCCTAACAGTGGGAGCAGGGGCTGTCTCTGACTCTGTTGTCTACTTTTGGGACCCATTCCTCCTAAAAGATTTCCTCATCCAATCTTAATAAAAGAGGAGGTGCCTAGCCTCACTGCAATTTGATATATAATAGGTGGGTGAAATCCATGGGAGGCCTGTCCTTTTCTGAAAAGAAAGAGTGGATGGGAGTAAGAGGGGATGATGGAGGGGGATGGGTTGCCTCATAGACTGCTGGGAGTTTCCATTGCAATAGGTTTCTAGCTCATCCCAGAGATGTTCCAAAATCCAATGATGCCCCCCATACTCTCTTCCTCCACCTCCCCTCTTACCTGATCCCTCCTGTTCCCATCCCTAGCATTCATCTAGACCACACCCCATCCACCAATGATGACTATCCTATTACACTTTCATGGTGAGATAGTCAAGTGCCACCTTGAGCCCTCCTTGTTAATTAGCTTCTCTGGGCCAATGGATTGTAGTGTGGTTATCCTTTACTTTAAGGCTAATATTCACTTATAAGTGAGTATGTATGATTTTTGTCTTTCTGTGTTTGTGTTATGTCACTCAAGATGCTCTTTTCTAGTTCCAACCATTTGCCAGCAAATTTCTTTTATTCTATGAAATGAACCTTATTCTATTGACACAGAGGATGGAAATGTGAAATGGAGTAGGTTTGGGGCTAGTAAGATTGCCCAGTGGCTAAGTGAGTTTGCCACCAAACTTAATGTGAGTTTGAACCCAATGATTCAGAAGGTAAAACAGGAAAAAATAACTCAGACAAGCAGTCCTCTTATCTCCATACCACTTATTCTGCATGGCTATTTGTGATATTCACAAACAGAAAGACAGTAGATGCCCACTGCCCATTGTACAGCATTAACTTCCTACTCCATGCAAAGGGCACACACTGTCTACAGAGCTAACAATAAGGAATTCCAGATCTGCCCTCATTAGACCTGAGATCTCCAAACAGAACTGTGGTTACTTTTCATTGCTTAGGTGCAACTACCTTACAAACCTTCTTTCACTTGGTATTTGTCCTGTTTGTTTTCAACATTCCTTTCACCATTGCTTTTGCCTGCAACTGCTTGTTGGAAATATCTGAACACATGATTATGGCCTTCAGAGTTTAGGATGTGAAAACATTCAAAGAAAGGAACACTTAAGACAGATAGAGGAGGAAGTAATTTAGACACATCCAGAGAGTCAAGTTGATGCTTTATTTAGAATTAATTGATGATTACAGGAGGTCTGTGTATGAATACGGAATTTGTTCTAGGCACCTTCTGACAGATGTTTCAAATACAGGAGCCCTCACTTTAGACCTCTTGCTCGGCCACTATGTATGCATGCTGGAACTTCACCTGACTCTGTAGTTTCAAAGAGCTTATCTCAGAGAAAATGAAGATCACACCAAAGAGTGACATGGTGGTTGTCAGTACTGCTGTTGGAAAGACAGCAGTAAACTGTTTGTTTATCAATGCTTCTTTTCTAACAGGAAAGTTAGGCGGAAAGTCAAGAGCGGTTTGTCCATAATGATCTGCGAAGTGGTTCCAGCTCACAGAAACCAATGTGAAGAGGCTGCTAATGCACAAAACTAAGGCAGAGACCTTGTAGCAATATATCTCCATCTCCACGAATGGGTCTTCCATGCAGCTGATCTTAATGGCAACTGCACCAAAAATCAGAACTATAAGCTTCATCAGAATGGCCCATACTATCATGGTCTGTGCATACTGGAATTCAGGTGAAATTGTCCAGGTGGAATTGATAGGAGTATGCACCAGCATCTTGATTACAGTCCCTGAGACATTAAACTCTTGAGGGTAGTAAGCTTCCCACAGTCCAAAGGACACAAATTGCACAACCTTGTTGTTGAATTCCCACAGGCGCCAGTATTGGCTGCTTGCAATGACTATCTCAAATACCAAAGCTGATAGGCCGCAAAGGAGGCCACTCAGCTTGAAGATGCATTCCATTGCACTGGCAAATCTGAAGAAGAGATTGAACAAGGATATAGTAAAGCAAGGAACACAGGGAAAGTTGGGAATACAAAATGAGTCATGGTTTACAGAGCACTATACTCTCATACCTTGTCCCTGCTGTCATGTAGTTGTATTTAAGTAGTCTACCTAGGTATTGGGATTCAACATACTACAAATAAGAGTGTAAAAAGCCATAAACTCCATGACTATAGCAGAAGTTCCCTCTATAGGAGGTTTTGGTTAGCAATTTCACTCTATCTTTCATGCATTTGTTACTAAGAATTTTTTCTTGTTTCACACATCAATTCATTTAAAATTATGAATTAAATGAAAAATAAGTAAAACCTCTGAAATTTTTCATTTATACTTCTGATAGGCTTCACTTCTAATTGTAATATTTATAATTTCTTTAAACAAAAAATGAATGAAGATTTAGCCCAAATAACAAAACCGTATTTGTTTTATTCATACTTCATATTTTGAGATGGATGTGGTGGGGCTGCAGAGATGGCTCAGCGCTTAAGAGCACTGACTGCTATTCCAGAGGACCTGAGTTCAATTCCTAGCACTCACAGGGTGGATCACAACCATCTATAACTGCAGTCCTATGGGATCCAATGCTCTCTTCTGGTATGTAGATATACATGCAGACAAAACCCCATATAAAATCAATCAGTATGTAAATAAATAGTATTTTTTTTTAAAAAAAAATCCATGAGGGGCCGGGCGTAGGTGACACACGCCTTTAATCCCAGCACTCGGGAGGCAGAGCCAGGCGGATCTCTGTGAGTTCGAGGCCAGGCTGGGCTACCAAGTGAGCTCCAGGAAAGGCGCAAAGCTACACAGAGAAACCCTGTCTCGAAAAACCAAAAAAAAAAAAAAAAAAAAAACATCTATGGAAGATAGGCAGTGGTGGTATATGCCTTTAATTCTAGCACTTATGTGGCAGAGTCAGGCAGATCTCTGTGAATTCGAGGCGAGACTGATGTACAGAGTGAGTTCCAGGACAGCCAAGGTTACAGAAAGCAACCCTGTCTCAAAAAAACAAAAAGAAAAAAGTCAGTGCTGTTTTGTTTTCTCTTTTCTTTTTGATAAGCACTTTTGTTGTAATGCAATATGTAAGTGGAAAGGTGATAGACATTATTTGAATTACTCTGTTAATAAAATTGCCTTAGATGTGCGTTAACCAAATTCACATTTTCTGAGTTATACTGAATCATATCTTTTTAAAACAATTATGTTTCCTTTAAGAGCATTTTCTAATGAAATGGACTATATTCAGATTTAGTGGGTCTTGATATATCAAATCTTTGTTTACAGAAAAATATTAGTTGAGGGTAGACAAGACGGCTCAGTGGATGAAGTCACCAACCTCTCTGTCTGACAATGTGAGTTTTATTCCTGGAACCCACAAGATGGAAAAAAGGACCATGCCTACAAGTTGACCTCTGACATCCATGTGAATGCTGTGGCAATGTACATGTCTACACACACACACAAATAAATTTAAAAATGTAACTTATATGTAACTTAAAATTTTAAAATCAAGTTCAATGAGAATTTTCAGTTTGAATAATTATTTCACTATTTCTTTGTATTTGGCCTTCACTCTGAGGCAAACTGAATATAGAAAGTGTCACCCAAACTGCCACTTCATCAAAAGGAGCCTGTTAAATATATCTGGTGAGAGCCACAAAAGTCATCAATTTTATGACGTTCCAAGTAAATCCAAATCTATTTTCCTAAGCATCTTCATTAAACTATAAAAGATTAAGGAGAGCTACTCAAAACTCATTCCAGAAAACAAAGCCTGTGAAGAGTATAATTATTTAGTTATTTCTTTAAATCTCCTTTCCAAGAATCTCAACTGGATTAAGTGTTCAGCACCTTGGGATTACAGCTGTGTATTCCTGTAGCTATCACTGCACACATCTCCACCTGATCACAGATTATGTTCCCGAGGAAGTAGATCAAAACTTTAGTTCCTTGTGGGTATCTGATAATAAAACCACCAAGGTAAACAGTATTCTCTCTGCACTTACCCAAATCAGCATAAACACCTAAACCACATTAGATGAATCAGCCTTCTGTTACATATTAATGAATAGATTTATTTTCAAATAGTTTCAGTTCCATTACTTGAAATTCCTTTATCAGAAGCATTTGTAAGAAACAGCAAAAGATTACCATTATTGAAGAGAGACAGTCTAGGAAGAAACTTCTGGAAACATTTGTTTCCTCTGGGTATGTTTAAAGACTTTGAATCTTCAGAAGATTTATTTTTGCATAGATTAACTAAACAGTCAACAAGAGGAAACAGCTTGGGCTTTATAAAAGATTTCCCTCAAGACTTGGAGACTTTAGAGGAGCCAATATTTATAAAATCATGAGAGCCCATGAAAAAGTTCTTCCAAACTTGGTGATCTTTTAATCTGAACTTTATTAAGAAAGAGTAAAAAATTTTCAATGCATGACAACTGTGTATGAAAATAATATTTTGTAGTAATATTGCAATTTTCCTTTACAAACATGTGGCTATGGTTCTTTTTTTAAACTTTATTTTTCTTTTCTTTGCATTGGTGTCTTGCCTGCCTGCGTGTATGTCTGTGTGAGGGTGTCAGATTCCCTGGAACTGGAGTTACAGATAATTGTGAGCTCTCATGTGGGTGCTGGGAATTAAATCTGCGTCCTCTGGAAAATCAGTCCATGCTCTGAGCCATCTCTCCAGTCCCGTACTGTTGCCTAAGAATTTTAATGCTTGGAATTAATAGTAAAAAAGTTTTCAATATCATATTTAAGATGATGTTTATTTCAGCTGTGTTTGCAATGCCTAAGTATAAGTAACTTATATGAGCAAAATAAGCAGGGGAATGCTCATAATAATTTCATTTCTAAATTTTGGTAGTGATTAGTGGAAATAAACTGAACTCACCTATATTGTCTACTGAAAGAACCAAGCAAAATGACAAATGTTTTACATGGTACACCCAGTGACATGATGTCAAAATTCCATACCTCAGTATGTATGTATATATATATATATATATATATATATATATATATATATATATATATATAT